TTAACTTCATCACCTTTGAAAAGACCCTATATCTAAATAAAGTCACATAAAGGGGGTTATGACTCTTACATGCTTTGGGGGACACAATTCCACCCATAAAAAGGGTCAGTTATCTTTCAAAGAGCTTAAATAATAATGAAAAAAACCTTGTTTTTTACATCTATGAAGTTATCATTTCCTGTACTCTTCATTATTTTGTGTAGATCCATATCTCCACTTGGCTGAAACACTTCTTAACATTTTTTTATAATGCAAGTTTGCTGATGTTGAATTCTTTCAGCTTTTGCATGTCTGAAAAAAATATTCATATTGCCTTCATTTTTGAAAGATATTTTCACTGGGTATGGGATTCTAGGTGACAAGTTTTTATATTTCAGTACTTTAACATGTCTGTCTTTTTAAAAATTTCTGTCTGCTTCTAAGACTTTCATCACTGTTTTTTTTTTGGGGGGGGGCGGTGGGGCAGAGTTTCATTACCACGTTCCTTGGTGTAATTTTCTTCCTTCCTCCCTTCCTGTTGTCCTCCTCCTCCTCCTCCTCCTGCCTTTCCTTCTTCCTTCTTCTTCTCCTTCTTCTGTGTGTGTTTGGGGTTTGTTGAGCTTCTTGGATTTGTAGATTTACAGCTTTTATTAAATTTGGAAAATTATTTCTTTAAACCTCCTCCCCCTTTTGGGGGGAAACACCACATATGCTTATATTTAGCCACTTGAAATTGTCTTACTGCTTGCTGATGCTCTTCCATTTGAAAAAAATTCTCTTTTCTGTGTTTAATTTTGGGTAGTTTCTATTGCCATGTCTTCAATTTAACTTTTCTTCTGTAATATTTAATGTACCATCAATTCCATCTTATCATACACTGTAGTACTCCATCTCTAGAAGTTAGATTTTCATATTTTAAAATACCTTCCATGTATCTAGTTAACTTCTTGTACATATGGAATATAGTCATAATGCCCTTATCTTAATGTCCTTGTTTTCTCATTTTAACATCTGTGTCAGGTTAGGGTTGGTTTCCGTTGGCTGATTTACCTCCTCGCTGTGGGTCCTATATTCTTGCTTCTTTATATGGTGGTTACTTCTTTATTGGATGCCAGACATGGTAAATTTTACCTTGTTAGGTGCTGGATGGCTTTGCATTGCTGTATTTTTGAGCTTTGTTCTGGGATGTAGTTAAGTTACCTTGAAACAGTTTGATTATTTTGGGTCTTGCTTTTAAGATTTGTTAGGTGGGACTGGAGCAGTTTTCACTGTCAGGGTAATTACTCTCCACGAATAAGGCAAGGCTCTTCTCTGTACTCTAGTGAATGTGCTGAGGTTCTTCAAGTTTCCAGTGTGGCCGGTGGGAACAGGTACTATTTCCAGCCTGTATGAGTACCAGCACTATAACCTCTAGTCCTTCCAGGTGGTGCTCCATCCAGTCTCATGTAGTTTTCATACACATCTATACTGACCAGGACTAAGCTGTATACTCAGAGAGGATTCCGCAGACCTCTGGAGTTTTCCTTCTGTGCAGCTCTCATATCTTTGGTACTCTGTCCTAGGAACCCCAACTGTCTTGGTCTGTCAGGATTCTCAGCTCTACCTCCACAACTCAGGGAATCAGTTGGGCTTGGGATATTCTCTTCATGTCATGTCCTAGAAACTCTCTGAAGGCTATATGCTGGTTCAATTGCAGGGCTCATCTCATTAGTTTACAGTCTCTTGTGGATCATTTTCTTTCATTATCTTATGTCCAGTGTCTTGTAAATTACTTAAAATATTTTGTTCACTTTTTTATTGCTTCAGGCAGGGCAAAAGAGGGTCAATCTGGTCCCTGTTACTTCATCTTGGCTGGAAGTATAAGTCTCTTCCCTTTGTTTTAATTGTAAGGTTCTGCAACTGTGAACGTCTGATTCTACTACTAAATTACTATAGCAGTTGTTTTGCCTTCCCTAATGACTTTACATTTGAAAGTTTATAGCCCTATCTATAAACAAATTAAATATTTTAAGAATATTAAGCCTGAGATTTCGATCAAATGGTCATCATGTCTCAGCAGTCCTTAATGTGTCTTGAGGAAGGAAGTGGAGCGCCATTTGTACTTTAAAACTATAGCTCCCAAGGACAGAGGAATTCTCTGCAATGATAAGCTAAGAACAGCTGTTTTACCATAAAGCAAACACTTGTCCATCTTTAGGAAGTAGATATAATAATGGTTTTAGCATTTTTCTTGTTCCTCAATGTTACTCATATAGATTTAATCTAGATAGTCATGCTCATCAAAATTAAAAAAAAATTCATAAAGAAGTTAAATTTCCATGTAGGAATAGGAACATTTCAATAATAACAGCAAACATTTCTTTAGCACTTACTATGTCACAGGCATTTTGCTAGGTGCTCAGGTCCATTACTAACCCCATTACACAAATGAGAAAACTGAGGCTCAGAGATTCAAACACCGGTTGAAAGAAAGACTACATTCTTTTCTTCGAAAAGTACTTAATGAGTATTTAACAAACCAGGCATGCTTCTAGATGTTGGGAATACAGCAGTGTGGGGGGACAAAGTCCCTACCCAAAGGATTTATAGTCTAACGCATATTCTCTTTATAACAATAAAAATACAATTTGTAATTTTTTTTTATGCCTGGTGTTATCAGAAGTAAAATGGTGGGAGCATCTGAGATCTTGATCCCTGGCAAATGTCATCAGTTTGGTTCAAATGAACTCTTACAAAAATTCTCTACAGGTTTGCAGTTTCTTAGGTGGACACTGTAAACCCTAAAACAACTTTATAGAAGGAGCAGGATTTATTGTAGCTCTATTTTGGTTATGAGTTGCTTGTTTATTCAGTCTTCAAGTGGAGCTATTCTGGAAAGTGTCATTCCAGGTAGCTTTTATAATAATAGGCTGTAATACTTTCTAATGGAATCATATTCATTTAGAGCTTTGTCCTAAAAGGATTTATGTCATGGAACAGTAAAGTTATTTCAATAGACTCTAAAGCAGGAGACGTTCTCCTCTACTTTCTTTAGTTTAGAAATTTTCCAGGATTCTTTGTGGAAGATAAAGAACATAATCTTGGAGCAAAATCTGGACTTTCATCCTAATAGGTTGCACGTTTCATGGCTGAGATACTCGTATTTCTCCAGGTTTGTGTAAAAAATAAGGACGGGCTGGTAGTTTTTACATCATCATCAGACATAGTCTTCCCTGCCCTACCCAAACACAGGAAGAAACCTGGAAATTTATGCCTGTCTTTTTTTTGTTTTGTTTTAAAGAATTAAGGGTGAAAGCCAAAGCTTTTATAGTGAAGGCCCAATGTCATAAGGCTCAATGTTTGGATAGATTTCCCAGCTGGACAGTACTTATTTAAGTGGGTGTCCTGAACTCTATTTTCACCTTAACAGTGGCATTAAAAGAAATAGCAAGAAGCAGGGTAATATTCAAAGGCAAATTATTAATAATTCTAGATTTTTTAAATGACATATCATTAAAAAGTCGTCAAAAACATTTCATGAAGATCAAACCTTTATATCCCTTACAAATTTCAGAAATAGTTGCTTAAAAGTATAGAACTCGTTAAGTTTTTAAAAGAAACAAAAAAATAGTGAAAGGCTATACTTAAAAACACTAAGTTTTAAAGAGAAATAGAATTCAGGATTAAAGTCATTTCATGAAATATTGGAGGGAAACAAGTTTAGGGTTGGAGGTCTGAGGTTCTAATCCTGACTTTGTTTCAAACTCAGTATGTGAGCTTGGGCAGGTGACCTCAGGTTTCTGGACTTTGGGGGAAATGATACTGCATTGAATACTTATAAGCTAGGACCTAAACTTTGTTCATTCTCTTTAAGTGTCAGATTTCTCATCTGCATAGTCAACAAAGTTTTGAAAAAGGAACTCTCAGTCTTCAGGTTACAATAAAGGCAATTTTTAATACAGCAAATGTCTTAATCAAAATTTGCCATGGGGTATCTGACTTGTGATCTTTCTCTTGGTTTACATACTCATTATCTCATCCCACTCGCACATCACAAAACAGCTCAGTAATACTGGAATGCTTTCACCTATTTCCATAGTGGTGAAATTCCTTTTTATTTCAACATGCTCTCTTTACTTGAAAATGCATGTTCTTTCTTTCTTAAACAACTATGTTAGTTAAAAATATATATATGGGCTGGCCGAGTGGCTCAGTTGGTTAAGAGCTCACTTAAGAGTGCAAGCTCTGAGCAACAGGGTCGTGGGTTCGATTCCCGACCCGAGCTGAGCTGCTGCTGAGCTGCCAACAGGTGGCAGGATGGCTCAGCTAATACACACACACACACATATATATAAAGGTTAATAAGATAGAAATAAAAAACTGTCACATGCATACACAATCCTAATAGGTAATGGTGACATGAATTTTCTCCTTTCATTTGTGATATTTAATTTACAGTATTTTTCTTTTTTAAATGAAGTTTGGGTTAAACCATTAAAAAAAGAAGAAGAAAAAAGTAAAACGGCAATCATTATAAATTTATGTCAATAAAAAATATCTAATTTTAAAAGTAGAGGAAACATTCTATGTAAAGGTAAGTAGTTTCATCCACTAAGTAGAAATAGCTGGGCTTTAATAAAGTTTTGGCTGGCTCCAAACCCTTTGCTCTTTCCACTATTCCATAATGGCTCTATGTCACAACAGTACATTTCAGAAAGAGACGCATTAAAAAAATAAACCAAACAAAAAGCCCCAAAATCTCTGCAATCTACTAAAGTTTTTTGATTGCAAAATAGATGATAAACAGGGAACAAAAACAAAAACAATAAAGAAACATATCATAGTGCTCAAGTTATTGGTTAACTAAATGCTCAAAAATTTTCATGCAATGTATATTTAGTTTTGAATAGAAATAATCTCTTATCAACTTGTCACAGTAAATATATTTGTTATTTCAGGAATGTGCAGACAGTGCTTTTCCTTTGTAAATAAATATGTAAAATATTCAAGTCTCCAAACAAAACATAAGTATGCATACATACCTCTACAGCAGGTACAATGTCTATGCCAACAGTTAGAAATTCTTCAAACTTCAGAAATGGGTTAAAGCAGCTGCCAACATCAAGTAATCTGATCTTTCCTGAGGTTTGTAGTAACCTAAAAGAAGATTATTTTATTTTATAAACGGCAAAATGAAACTAAGCTATAAGAAAAATATCAAATATTTGAGAATAAAGGAGGTCACACAGATTATAGGCTAACTTTTTGGTCTCAGGATTCCTTTAACACGTTTAAAAAGAACTGAGGCCTTAAAAGCTTTCATTTATGAGGATTATAACTATCAATAATACTGTATTTGAAATTAAAACTGAATAGTTTAAAAGACATTTATAAATTCATTTATAAAACAATAAACCTATTGTATATGCTAAAGTAAATTATGTATTTTTTTTTTAAGATTTTTATTGGGGAATTGGGGGGATGGGAACCGCGCTGGGGAATTGGGGAAGGGGAACAGACAAGTTGCTGTCCTTTTGTTCTTCAGTCTAGTTGTGGAGGACATTGCTTCACTGGCCCAAGTTGACACCATCATTGTGCTCTTCCTGGGTCAGGCAGATCAGTCACCAGCTTCTGGACAGCCGCTGGCCGCTCACGCTGGCCGCTGGCTACACACGGTAGCCCATGGCAATCCACTGCCACAGGGGCTGCAGCCTACGCCATCGCCGGCGCCTCACAGCAGCCCAGCTCCAGGTTGAGCTGTTGTTCAGCATCTTAGCTGTGGAGGGCAGTGTCACTGGCCCTCATATGTGGGATCCGAACCGGGGCCCTCTGGCATCCCAAGCCAGTTCTTAACCATCGCGCCACTCGGCCGGCCCTGTAAATTATGTATTTTTAATGAAAAATCTAGATTAGAAAGAGTAAAAAGTGAGGCATGCTTTTACAGTTTTTGAAGTCTCTTTAATGTCTGGCTTAATAGAAGATTGATGGATTCTCATTATCTGCTTTAGCATTCAAGCTGTTCCAACATTACATATCATATAGTTTCTAGAAAAGTACACTCTACACTCATGAGAAAATCAAAGTAAAGAAGGCAAATGACAACTTCGTATTACCGTGAAAATAACTTCCCCCTCAGAGACCCTGGAAGGGTCTCAGATCCCCAGACCATACTTTGAAAACTGTCTTTGCAGATGAAAAAATCCACTAACAAATCAATTCTACGTAGTCAATATAACAATGTCTTTGTACTTAACTTTAGTTTGTCTCAATGATTTAAAAAGACCAAAGAGAAGAGCATAAAATAGTATTTTTTAATTTATGAAAAAGTTTTGTTTTATTTTTATTTAAGAGCTTTCCTCATGTCCAAAAACAGTAGGAAAAAAATGAAGGTAAACGAAACCAGAAATGACCATATTTTAAGGTTGGTCAAATGTAATCAATATGGATCTAGCAGCAATGATGAAGGAAAACAGTGGATTTTGTTGGTCTGAAGTCTGGAGTCCTAATGTTCAGACAGCATAGCAATAATAAAAACCAACTTCAGATATATGCCATTTTCACTGATGTTAATTTCCTTTAAAAAATTATGAGTAGATATTGGAAAAATAAAGGAAAGAAAATGTAGGGAAACAGCTGGGTAAAAACAAAATCTTGGTTCTTTGACGTCTAAAAGGCAGGGAGAACCTGTCTACTTCTTTCTCTCCTTTATACCTGGGCTAGCATATTACCTTAGGGTCCATTAGGGAGGTATTAGCTACAGATAGTGGGTTAAGCTCCTAAAAAAGACACTATTAAGTGAAAATAATATAAAGTTGATTTTTTTTCCAGAAAAGGAATGCAATAAATAGGGGTAACCAAATATTGATGTCCTAACATTTTATAGAAATTACCACAATCACCATTTGACTATAAATAAACTATATAGGACCTATCTGATATAGTACATGCCACTGTATAGTACCATAAAAATAATATGAACCAATTACAATATTTTTGCCAATAAACTTTTATTTTAAAACTCCCCTAAAGAGGCTATGAGGGTATAAGAAAATAGCATTTCACCAAAGAGGGCCTTCATTTTCTATATCTATAAAACAACTCAATAATTCTGACTATGACCTCCAGATGAGTGTTAGTTCTTGCAATGAATAGCGAGAAACTCTCACAGTGAAAACTGCTGCTCCTTGGGTGCCTCTTAAGAGGTATTGCAGCCAGTCAGGAAGCAGATTATTTGAATGGGTGATGCCTATAACAAATAATCATCTGTAAAGTTGAATTAAGTTTACTGATACTTGAAATATCATGATGCATTAATTTCAATGATGAAAGAGGGTTGCCAATTTCTGTGGCACAGGTTCCAAGTTGCTAAATAGACCAGAAGATTCAGTAGACAGGGGCCATAGAAATGTGTAGTATACAGTTGACACTCGCTGCTGCATTAATACAAAATTGAATATCCAAATCGTAACCTGTTAGAATGAGAATCTATAACGCTATGTAATACTATATACACTACTAGATTGTCATTCTAATCCTTACTTGGAGCCTATGGTGAAAAACGAGTTCTGGCATCAGAGAGACTAAGATCAAAACCTGATTCTGTATTGCATTGTTCTGTACACCTGAAACTAACAATAAAATGTAAAAAAAAACCCCAAAAAACCCCACCTGATTCTGTCCTTTACCTGTGTAATATGGGGACAATAATGGTATCCACACTTAAGAGTTGTTTCCAGAGTTAAAAGAGAGAATACATTTATAATACTTGACCCACTATCTGGTACATGGTAATTGCTCAAAAAGTGGTAAATATTATTGTTAGCTGTTAATATCATTTTATAGGGTAAATCTTTTTGTGGTTCATTCATTAATGATCTTCCTGAATATAGTAAAAAAGCAGGATTCGCCTCACACTAAATTCTATACTAGTAAACTGATTAGCAAAACATTTCTGATAGTCTTTGTTTTAACAAGTGCATTTTGTAAATTAAAATTTCTATCTGGATGTAGTACTCTTAAATCATTCAAGTTAATTCAACATTATGATACAATCATCAATAACAATATCACAGATTAACCTAACAGCATTAATTCTCAGTAATATACTTGGTTCATTTCAAATTCTTTGGTTTAGCGCCTTACTTTATTTGCACCAAACACACATTTATAATTTAAAGACTAATTACAACGTAAACATAAAGTAATTACCACCCAGGCCAAGAAATTAATCATTGCCTGCACTCAGGAAGCATACCCCTCCCTGATGACATCTGCCACCCCTTTCAGTAATGGTAGTCCCTATCCTGAGTTAAATGACAGCCATTTCCTTGGTTTCCCTTTAGTTTTACTATCTATGACTGAATGCCCAAATAATAGTTTAGTTTTACACACTGCAAATTTGCTTTTGTGACTTTCTTCTTTCATTTAACATTAAGTTTGTGAGAGTCATTTGTATTTCTATAGTTAATTCATGTTCATTTTTGTATAATAGTACCTTTATACAACACATCCCATTGTGATTTTGCTTATAGTTGCATTGAGTCTAAAGATCATTTGGGGAGAATTAACATGTTTACAATATTGAATCTTCTAATCCACAGACATGGCACAGTTGTCCATCTGTTTAGGTTTTTTTCATTGTCTCCCAATAGCTTTATCATTTTCTCTTACACAGTCTCACATGTTTTTTTGGATTTATATTTCTTATGTCATTTTTTTATGCCACTATTGTTTTCCCCCATGGATAAACTTTGTTAATACATTTCATTTTTTCATTTATTTTGGTTACAGAAATGCAACTGATTTTTGTATACTGATTTCGTATCCAGCAAGTTTACTAAGTTTCTGTTATCTCAATTGCTTATCTGTATATTATTTTGGGTATTCTCATCTAGGTATATAATTATATAATCAATGAAAAATGACATTTGTATGTCTTCCTTTCCTGTCTATCCACCCACCCATGCTTCCATCTATTTTTTGCCTCACTGCTTTGCCCAAGACTTTTAAATACAGTGTTAAACAGAAGCACAAGCAGGCACTGCTATTTTGCTAGTCTCAGAGGGAATGTTCCAGTGTTTCACCATTAAATACAGTGACTGTTGTAGGTTTTGTATATTACCCTTGTTAAAGTTTAAGAAACAAACTCCTTTTATACTTTGCTAGTGCTTTTAAAAAAAAATTTTAACGCAAATCTATGCTGGATTTTATCAAACGCATTCTATCAGCTATTCAGATATGACTTTAAGTTGTTTATGTGGTTGAGTAAACTCATTTATTTCGTAGTATTAAAGCAACCTTTCATTGCTGCCTCAGAGATTTTAAGTTTTAACACAGTTTTTACAAAATTCCAACTTTCATCTCTGTTGATCTTTTTTTTCTTCTTATATCTTTATTACAGTAAAACCTTGGATTGTGAGTAACGTGGTTTGCGAGTGTTCCACAAGACAAGCAAACATTTCTAATACATTTTAACGTGGTAATCAAGTGATGTCTTGCAATATGAGTAGTTTGTTTCCGGAACGAATTATGCTTGCAAACCAAAGCATTACTGTTTTCTTTTCACTTTTTTTTTATTAATTTTTTTGAAATAGATTCTTAGTTCACTAGTTTTCAGCTTTTATTTTTTATATAATATATGCATTTAAACTATAAATTTCCCTCTAAGTGATGCTTTAGCCATAGCCATACATTTTAATATAAAGCATTTTTGTAACACTATTTTTAGTTTATTTCTTCAGTTTAGCGAGAACTGAGGCCAAACTTCTTTGAGTGTCATATTTCCTGTGCTCAGACTTATACTTTCCACTGAATCAAAATTTTGAAATACTTATTTATAAGGTAATAACTGTCTGAAAATAAACAGTGTGAAGCAATTAGTTTTTTTCCATACACATTCACATTTAATTACTATTAGAAATAAAATACTCATAGTTTCTGCAGTTTAAATCTGAACATACAATTTGTAGTACAAGATGTGGGTTCTAGTAGAGATATTCTAATTCATTGTATGGCCCTAGACAAGCCATTCTGGATCTCTGCCTTCATCCACATCTAACAGGGATAATAATGCCCTTTTAAACTTATCTTATATGCAAGTAGGCATAAGATTTAGGTGAAATATTTTGCTACAGTTGCTAAAGAAATAAGGTAAAATG